GTAATAATTGCCTAAATCAAGTGGCTTTTATGTTCATTTGAGCACATTCTGACTGATTTAAAACATGATTTGCCAAAAGGACAAGCCATTTGATTTGATTTCAAGAACTGTCACTTTATTTTCTCATTCCAAGTGGAGACATTTCTTGTATCTTTCTAAAAAACAAGATCATTTTGCATGTCCCATTGGCAAATCTTGTTTTAAGGCAGTCCAAATGTGCTCAAATTAAGATACCAAATTTGAGCAATTTTTTGACTTATTTTTTGTCCCTTTTTGCAGTGTAGTACGTTTAACCTTCTGGTCAAGGGCAGCTCTCTCCGTCTGACTGCGCCCCACGTCAGATTGGCAGAGTGTAACCAGATTCCAAATGCAGTGAGTGGAAATGTGCTGAGTGAGTAGCGAACAGGAGGTCTTATTTTCCCCACAGGAAAACCAGGGTCCAGTTACTTCTCAACAACTATTAGACCATACACACATACACATCTATGTCACTATGACAACGCTTCCAATGTATTATTATGTGTAATGTGTGATGGGCAGTATTCAAATTATTAATATTTTATCATTATCATTACACGTTTGAATGCTGTCTAACGCATCTTGGGATATAAAAACACATATAGTATGGGTTGGGGTTGTCATTGCTATAGTAGGAGTGGAATAATTAGAAGAGGCTAGAAGAACATTTATTTGTATCGCACATTGCACCAATCATAGAAACATAAAAAGTCAAATAGAATTATAGTGTAAACAAATTAGTTATAAAGAAAATCAGCATACAGGCGTGATGCCAGAGTATTCCATGTGTTTGTAGTAGTTGTAGTAGTAGTAGTGGTAATAATACTAGTAGTAATAGTTGTAATATTAGTATTAATGGTAGTGCTAGTAGTAATAATAGCAGTAGTAATAGTAGTAGTGGATCTCTCTCTCTGTCTCTCTCTGTCTCTCTCTCTCTGTCTCTCTCTGCCTCTCTCTCTCTGTCTCTCTCTGTCTCTCTCTCTGTCTCTCTCTGCCTCTCTCTCTCTGTCTCTCTCTCTGTCTCTCTCTGTCTCTCTCTCTGTCTCTCTCTGCCTCTCTCTCTCTGTCTCTCTCTCTGTCTCTCTCTCTGTCTCTATCTGTCTCTCTCTCTGTCTCTCTCTGCCTCTCTGTCTCTCTCTGTCTCTCTCTGCCTCTCTCTCTGTCTCTCTCTCTCTGTCTCTCTCTGTCTCTTTCTCTGTCTCTCTCCCTCTCTCCCTCTCTCTCTGTGTGTGTCTCAGTCTCGTAGAAGTATTAGTAGTAGTGGTAACAACACTAGTAGTAATATTAGTAGTAGTAGTAATTGTTATAGTGGTGGTTCTCTGTCTCTCTCTCTCTCTCTCTCTCTCTCTGTCTCAGTCTAGCAGTAGTAGTAGCAACATACTGTATACTGCAACTGCTACTGCTGCAGTTGAGAGAAATAGCCTGAAGCAGTATTATAACCATATTATTGTATGGAATTGATATTAACCTAATGCACTTTTCACTCATCTTGTTTGACAATACATTTGTGCTTAAAGCTACTGATCTTATTTTCTCTAATTCCCCTCATTTCCCGCTGCCCCTGGCTCTTGTCTTCAGGCTACAGCGGTACATAGATTTGAATTATAATGTAATCATATATAAATTCACTAATCTAGGTCACTATTACTGTTTTGTGTGGGTGGTAGTTGCAGGACCAGATGGCTAAACAGTGCTAGTAATTCTACAAAGATGCCATGGCGCAGTCTTAAAGAGGATATTATTATTCATTGATTTAAAATGCAACTCAAAAGGTAGCTACAAGTCTTTGAACTATAATGTTCATCCAAATCGTGTGCATTTTGTTGTGCCCTTGTGCCCGACACATTTCTCTGCAGTGAGGCTGATGTAACCGAGTGTCAGTGCTGCTTGCAACACTTTACTGAGTTTACCGAAGCCCGGACAAAACAAAACAGTCCTTTTGCCTTTGAGCGGACAAACCCCAAGCGAGCTGCTGTGAATTTGTCCTATAAAGTGTTTTTGACAGCCCAGAAAGAGGAATATTTAGTGAATTAAACTCCAAAATAAAACATGACCGTTGCGTTTCATGTAATTGTTTCTCCTGTAAAAGCTGAACTTGTGTGAACTTTTGGATGAAAGTTGATTAGTATTACGTGCGCTGTCGTCATCCTCAATCCAAACGGGGGCATTGTGTCTGTGTCTTTTATCTTTTCACTGTCCTCTATCAAACTTCCTGACTTGAGGCTTTCTCGATTCAGTTGGTATTGATATTGTACTCAAGGTAAAATGAGTGTATTGAGTCATAGCGGTTGTTAAAAAACAAAGTCAAAGTCACTCTCCTTGTTTTGGTTTCATAAATACATCGTGCTTGTCCTAACCAGAGGGGGTGGGTCCTGGCTCAAAAAAGGTCCATGGGCATGTGCGCTGACCTGCTTGCAATCTCACTCCGGGCCGGTGGGGGTGTACCTGGAAAGAGAATTATCCAATGCTTTTGTATGCCGTCTTCTTTCCTCTCAAAAACGTCTTTACTGGATGGTCCAAAAGTTGGATGCTTTTTTTTTTTTTTTTTTGACCAGTCGAGTTTAGCCGTTTTTTAGGCGGAGATTTGACTGCACTTTTCAAATGAATGGGGCTTGTGTCGGCTAATGCATGTGAAAATAAGATAAGACAAGAGATCCTTTATTCGTCCCACAGTGGGGAAATTTTGAAATTCTTTTTTTTTCATAGACTGTAAATATTAATGGACGTAGTCACGCCTATCTCCGCCGTTCTAACTAACGGGCCAAAAAGTGAGCTTTCATGGAGCGATTCAAAATGGCCGCGTGGGCTGGGAAATGTGAAAAAACGCATCTGCGCATGCGTCAGCCGACACAAGCCCCATTCATTTAAACGAATGACTTAAAAAATTCACAGCGACTAAACCAGAGTGGTCCAAAAAAATTCACTCCCCTCAGCATTGATACACATGTGTGCCAATGCTATATGTTAAGATTGGCAAATTCTCATTCCGGGTCCACCCCCATCGACCCGGGATGGTATTGCAAGCATGTCAGCGCACGTTATTTTGGCCACTTTTGAGCCAGGACCCGCCCCCACTGGTTTTTTCACATTTTCCTGTCTTCATCTCACTAGAACACATTTTAACTTGCACATACTGAGAGACTTAAAGATGTTACAGGGGCAAAAACACATGCATGTGAAAACTAGTGATACAACCAAACTGTTTAGAGAGCAAGGAACTAGTTACATTACATACGGACATACATAGATAGCTTTTTTTTTGCTTTCAAAGTTAGGCTCTCTAGCTTTAGGGGATCTTGCCATAGTTCAAAAATATCTCAAAGTTAAGATCTGTGCACGAAAGTTTGGCATTTTATTTTTCCCTTTAGGCTTGTTCATCAAATGATATAAAACCTGCTTTCAAGTGTGTCCAAATTGGTCTTATCACACTTCGATGAAAGCCCCACTGATGTTACTCAGAGTCTGTGGATGAGCACAAGACTAATGGAGCTATTAAAAGCTTGGATTATGTTTGAAATGTACTGTATGAGGTCAGGAGGCCGCTGTCTGCGCTCGCTTCAATTATCAGCAGCTAAACTCCACAGTGACTGCCGGTCCATTTTCAGCTCCGTCACAGTGGGACAGGCACAATGGGTGACATGCTATACACATGTGTTAAATTAAAGGGGCGGTACAGGTGAGAGAGGACTTCTGCTGGGAACGTTGTCATTTTTATATCCAGGTCCTGAAGTTCAATCATGTATGACTCGGATGGTTGGCTATAGGAAGGCAGTCGCTTTAGTTTTGATTTAAGGTCTGTTTTTACTCTCTGGCTTTTAGCACTACGTTGAGTTGTGGGGTCCTCTGTTTTATCTGTTTTCTTTTATTGTTTTTAGGTATAGGTTTATTTTTAAATTGAATAACTGGTATTTTATTGTTTTTATTAAATTTCTATTGTTTTTTACATCGTACATATTGTTTTACTTATTATATTTTATTTTAAGCATACAACGCTGGCAAACCTGTATATTTGAATGTGTTATTTTTATCTGTGCAGCACTTGTTAAAATGTCATACGTTATATAACTTAAAACATTTTAAAATGTGCTATATAAGTAAAGTGAATTAGATTGGATTGGATTTATTTTGTTCTGAAATTCATATGAAAGGATTGAAACTCCAAGAGCTGTCATTTTTAGAGGGCAGTCAAAATGACAGTTCTTGGAGTTTCAATCATTTCATATGAATTCCCTAAAAAAAGAGTGAGTTAGTTTACAAAGATTTTACCTTCACTCACTTAAAATAATAGCAAATATTTGGTGATTATAATGGAAAAGATAGATCGATGATAGATAGATAGATAGATAGATATATAGACCATACTTTACATACTAACTACAGCAATAGTTTTATTAAAAATGACTAAATACTAACTGCTGAAAGCTGACGGTGTGTTGCTATGGTAACTAGCATTGGCTCTGTTCTGGCGGAAAACCAAGCCGACATTTCACCTTATTGGAGAAACTACTCACATTTCAAAAGCAAAAAATGATCTCACAAAGACAGAGAAATATTCTACATAGACATACACATAAGACCACAGCTGTACGCCCAGTAATCATGCTTTCAAAACTCAAAGTGTTAAGTAACTACAGTACAACATTCAAAGTATGTAGTAAAGTCAATAGAGATTGTTGTGATGACTGGCACCGTGTTTACAGTAGTGGCTTTACTTTCACTTTCTGTCAAAAGCACAGATGCTGCATCAGCTCAGGGGCCGAAGAGTCGTGCCCTTCTGGACCCTGAGCATCTTCATCACATCTGCTGCTTCTCCTGAGCTTCTCCACTGCAACACTTCACAAAGCAACACAAATATTACACACCGCTTTAAGGACTGATCATAACAACACACAACGCACAAAACTGGAAGGCAGTTCTTTTGTCTTTAGGATGTATTGAGTATGTGATGTGTCTGGGTGGAGAGAGGATGAAGAGGAGAGAGGATGAAGAGGAGAGAGGATGAAGAGGAGAGAGGGTGCAGACGAGAGAGGATGCAGAGGAAAGAGGATAAAGAGGAAAGAGGATACAGAGGAGAGAGGATACAGGGGAAAGAGTATACAGAGGAGATATGGTACAGAGGATGCAGAGGAGAGAGGATGCAGAGGAGAGAGGATGCAGAGGAGAGAGGATACAGAGGAGAGAGGGATACAGGGGAAAGAGTATACAGAGTAGATATGGTACAGAGGATACAGAGGAGAGAGGATACAGGGGAAAGAGTATATAGAGGAGATATGGTACAGAGGATGCAGAGGAGAGAGGATGCAGAGGAGAGAGGATACAGAGGAGAGAGGATACAGAGGAGAGAGGATACAGAGGAGATATGATACAGAGGATGCAGAGGAGAGAGGATGTTGAGGAAAGAGAATGCAGAGGAGAGAGGATGCAGAGGAGAGAGGATGTAGAGGAGAGAGGATGTAGAGGAAAGAGTATGCAGAAGAGAGACGATGCAGAGGAGAAAGAATACAGAGGATTCAGAGGAGAAAGGATGCAGAGGAGAAAGGATGCAGAGGAGAGAGGATGTAGAGGAAAGAGAATGCAGAGGAGAGAGGATAAAAAGGAGAGAGAATGCAGAGAAGAGAAGATACAGAGGAGAAAGGATACAGGGGAAAGAGTATACAGAGGAGAGAGGATGTAGAGGAGAGAGGATGTAGAGGAAAGAGTATGCAGAGGAGAGAAGATGCAGAGGAGAAAGAATACAGAGGATTCAGAGGAGAAAGGATGCAGAGGAGAGAGGATACAGGGGAAAGAGTATACAGAGGAGATATGATACAGAGGATGCAGAGGAGAGAGGATGTAGAGGAGAGAGGATGAAGAGGAGAGAGGATACAGAGGAGAGAGGATGCAGAGGAGAGAGGATGCAGAGGAGAGAGGATGTAGAGGAGAGAGGATGTAGAGGAGAGAGGATACAGGGGAAAGAGTATACAGAGGAGATATGATACAGAGGATGCAGAGGAGAGAGGATGTAGAGGAGAGAGGATGAAGAGGAGAGAGGATACAGAGGAGAGAGGATACAGAGGATACAGAGGAGAGAGGATGCAGAGGAGAGAGGATGCAGAGGAGAGAGGATGTAGAGGAAATAGAATGCAGAGGAGAGAGGATGCAGAGGAGAGAGGATGTAGAAGAAAGAGGATAAAAAGGAGAGAGAATGCAGAGAAGAGATGATACAGAGGAGAAAGGATACAGGGGAAAGAGTATACAGAGGAGAGAGGATGCAGAGGAAATAGTATACAGAGGAGAGAAGTAGCAGAGGAGAAAGGATGCAGAGGAGAGAGGATACAGGGGAAAGAGTATACAGAGGAGATATGATACAGAGGATGCAGAGGAGAGAGGATATAGAGGAGAGAGGATGAAGAGGAGAGAGGAGCAGAGGAGAGAGGATGTAGAGGAAAGAGAATGCAGAGGAGAGAGGATAAAAAGGAGGGAGAATGCAGAGAAGAGAAGATACAGAGGAGAAAGGATACAGGGGAAAGAGTATACAGAGGAGAGAGGATGCAGAGGAGAGAGGATGTAGAGGAAAGAGTATGCAGTGGAGAGAAGATGCAGAGGAGAAAGAATACAGAGGATGCAGAGGAGAGAGGGGGAAGAGAGAGATGATGCAGAGGATGAAAAGGAGAGAAAATAAAGAGGAGAGAGGATACAGAGGAGATGATACCAAAGAGAGGGGATCCAGAGTAGAGAGCGTAGAGAGGAGAGAAGATGCAGAGGAGAGAGGATGCAAAGGGAAGAGGATACAGAGGAGAGAGAGGAGATGATACAAATGAGAGAGGATAAAGAAGAGAGAAGATGAAGAGGAGATAGGATTTAGTGGAGACTGTGACTGCCACATTGTTGGTGTCTTTCCAAAAACAAAGAGAAAAACTGCTAAAATATTACTACAATATAAACATTTGTATCTCATCGGATTAACTATTAATAAAATCACTGTGAAAGTATAAAACCTTGTGTCCTAGATTATTTACGACACACAACTCAGACACATCCCCATGTTATCTGTTGTCATCCACACAGACATCTTCTCTCTCATGTGTCTCAATATAGCGTGGGGATTTAGCCATCCTCCTGCAAAGGTCACAGCCTGTGTTTATAACGTCTCTTACACTCTGGGCTCTTAATGAGTCCGCTCAGTTTGAGTGTGAACAAGAGGAGTTCGTCTGTGCGTGTGTGTGTGTGTGCGTGTGTGTGTGTGTGTGTGTGTGTGTGTGTGTGTGCTGAAGCCAGGCCTGTGTTTAGCCCGAGTGGTGCTTAGAGCTAAATGGTCCATACAGTGCTTACATGCCGACGCTTTTCTTCAATGACAATGATGATTTTTACACGATTGTCAGAGAGAATGGAGGAAACCGTTTAACTCAGGAGCTACGTCCCTGCACCGTAAAGTAAGAGTACGGGCGTTTCAATCAGCCGTTCAATCAGTCTCTGGAATCGTCGGTGTAATAATGGGGGGAAAGAAGCTGAAAGAACATGTGGATTATAGATGCAAAGAACATAAATTATACATCTACAATATTTTTTTATTCTGCAATCTGCAATTTACAACGTGCACGTATGAGATTCCTTTACATAAACTTGACGATCGGTTGCATTAAGCACACTGCAATGCCAAGGGAGGGACTAAGTAAGTACTGTATACTATTTGTGAAAAACAGAGAAGACAGTCATGTGTCAAAACAAATATGTATTATTTTAAGTGTTTCTGCACCTGTAACACTCCCAGAGCAGTCAATTTGACGGCTTTTTGTTTCGGAAGTGTAATTTCACTGCTTATGTATGTTTTGGTCTTCATAACTTTGTGACCTTTTCTGTTTCTATATATAGTTCTACTTCTATGTCATTATGTTTATGAAATTATCTCGACCTTTTACTGCTCCTAGTTCAGAAACATCACAGCTTAGAGCAAATGCTAGTTACCATAGCAACACACTCTTTACTTGCAGCAGTTTCAAATTAACCGTTTTTAGCATGTATTAAGAATAAAAGCCGAAGGACTTAAGCCTAGTTTATACTTGCGCGGCGCGGAGCTTACGGAGGTGACGTGACGTCACTTGAGCAACGCGTTGGTCACCGCAAGGCCCTTACGTCGCCTGCCGCGCAGCATCGAAATTTTCTAACTACGTAAGGGTCGCCGCAAGGAATCTCCGCTGTGATTGGTCCGTGTGTATTGGAAGGAAGCACGGAGCGGCTGCAGCAGGAGCATGGACGAGGCACTATGGAGCAGAGAGCTTTGTGCTTCGAAGGAAAAGCAGTTTGGGCTCAGAGCCTGATATACAGGAGACTGTGGACTATCTAACATATATATAACTTATATATAACTGCATAACTGTGCAGTCGTTTGTTTTGCACTGTTCCTGTCTTGTTTGAATCGTAGCTGCGTTTGTTGCTTTCCTCCTGCACTCGTAAATCGTTCATGTTTGTCTCAGATATTTGCCACTATATGTTTTGCTGTTTGTGCTGAAAACTATTTAATAATAACCATGTTTCCAACAAGAACTGTGTCTTTATTCACAGCATCACAGTTGAAATGACTTATAAAATAATGAATCCATAAAACTATCACATAAACCTACAGTAGAAACACGTGTAATGAGCTCAAACAGCTTTGTTTGCTATTGTTGTTCTGAAGAGGACAAAGTAGCAGCGTAAATGGGACCGCTCCTGTGTGATCGCCCTCATGTGGTTTGTTGTGGGATTACAACATTCTCCTAAAAACTCCGTAAGGGGAACGCGCCAGTATAACATCAATTGTGCTTACGTAGGTCCACCGCAACCGCTAACGTAAGCCACGCCGCGCAAGTATACACTAGGCTTTAATTGTAACAGTAGTGAAAACCTAGACTGTTGTAATTCTGTTCATTGGAATGGGAGCCGTCAAAATGACTGCTCTGGGAGTTCTAGTAGTATCACAATTCAAGTCCAAGTGTTAGACATTCCTTGGAATTTCACGTCACTTTAAAGAGATGTTTACAGAGAACTTCCTGTCATTTTTAACATATATTTTTTTGTAATTGAAACAGGTGTCATTCTCCTAAAAAAGATCACAGTTTTCACATCTTCTATTGAACTTTGTTATTTCCCGTTGCACCTACGATGTGTCAGAACGCTGTTATTGATAGTGGTTGTGGTGTGTGCGCGTGTACACAGTTGCAGCGCAGCCCCTGATCTCGTTATCTTCACATTAAGTGTATTGTTGTGGCTCCTGCACAGATGCTTCTCGTGCACTCTCGCCCACAGACAGTTGTTAAAGTGAAGACCTCCATCTGCCGCCTTCCCCACACCCCGGGTCTAACGTCAGGGATTTTAGCACCTTTTCTCTGTACTGGAATGTGGATTTAAACAGGTTGATGAACCTTACTACATTCTTGACCAATTTTACTCACAAAACGGAATCACACAGACACACAAACACACAAACACACTTTTCATTTGGATATAGAAAAGTGAATATGTTTGCATAGATGACCCATGTGGCTGTATATGAGTGGGTTTGATTGTGCCCTGATTTTTTTGTAGGTTTTCTGGTGAAAGAGAGAGTTTGTGAGCTGAGAAAAAAATACAAACATGTATGCTTAGTTTATATAAATATTAGGGCTGTCAAACAATTACAAATTTTAATTGAGTTAATTACAGCTTTAAGGGTGTATTCAGACCTGAAAAGTCCTTTGCTCCGCTTGCTTGATCCGAATCAAAAGCGGACCAAACTTTTTTTCTTTGCTCTAGTTCGTATTCAGACTGTCCTTTTTGCAAGTGAACTTTTTTATATAAACATATTGCCACGTGTGACGATCGGCGCTCCTATTGGACAGCGAGAGCTCACGGAGGATAGACGCGGAACCGGCAGAAAACATTGAGGGCTCGTATGTGCAGCATGTCTGCTCTGCTTATGTTTGCTCTTTTTAGAGCAAAACCACCTTCAACATCAACAGCAGCTCATATGACACAGGCCAAACACGTTGTTTTAAATATTGGAACAGCGTCGGAGAATGCGTGAGGAGAAAGCCGAAGGAGACTGTCTGCGCTCCGTGCCCTGTCCCACACATGGATCTATGATAATAACGGCCCTGTTCAGAATTGTGGATAAACCAAAAAGTGGGTCTCGGTTCGGTTCTTTGGTCCGGACCAGGATTCGTTTGTATGTATTCAGACCTGCATAAAAGCTTCCAAACGAATCCTGGTCCGTTTAAAGTTGAGAAAATGTGCAGGTCTGATTACACCCTAATTAACCAATCGTAATTAATCGCATTTCGAACTATTGGAAAAATGATGCCATATTTTTCTGTAAAAGGTCATTTGAATGGAAAGATAAATGATGACATTGTGCACATATGTACAGCATTGTTTTTATTATAACAATAAATGCACATAAAATGGCATTAACATTATTAACATTCTGTCTTTCTGTAGTAGACACTGTTTTTTCAGCTCGACATATTCTGCATCTGCTAAAGCCGCCTCTTTCTTCTTCTTCTCTGTCTCATAAAGGCTGTGGATCCTCTTCATTATTTTGCCTCTACAAACTATTGTTTGTAATAGGGATAGGAGACATTTGAAAAAAGTCTGAGATGCATGTCAGCCAATGGCTGTCATTAACTCTGCTCACAACATCGTGCACAGCATCGTGCACAACATCGTGCACAACATCGTGCACAGCCATTGCATGTCAGCCAATGGCTGTCATTAACTCTGCTCACAACATTTCATTTCTGGGCAAAAACAACATGAAATGGTAGTGCAAAGGAAAAGTTAGGTACCCCAGCTCTAATTTAGCATCTTTTTGCGTTAAAAGCGTTAATTTTTTTAACGCAATTAATGAAAAAAATGAATTAACGTGCGTTGACGCAGTAACTTTGACAGCCCTAATAAATATAGGGCTGTCAAATTGTATACAGATGATACAGATACAGATGATATAGATACAGATGTAACACACTCTAGTGCAAGGATGTTGAAGTAATAAGATATGCAGACAACTCATACAGCCACTGGGATAATACAAGGTCAGAAGTACAAATGTACAGTATCATGTAGAAATGGGGCGACAGTGGCTCAGTTGGTATTGGCCTTTGAGCCTGAAGATTCGGGGTTCGAGCCCACCATGTGACCTGCTCCACTGACTCCCACTGATGACTGCTGTCGGTGTGTCCTTGGGCAAAACACTTAACCCCACTTTGCCTGAAGCCCCAGCCACCTGCTGGAGGATCAATGAGGGGCTGGTGCTTTGTGTACTGGGTGGCATCTCTGGCCACCCCAATGACCCAGAAATAGATTAAGGGGTAGAAAATGAATGGATGGATGGATCATGTTGAAAATTGCATTATGCATTGAAATGGTCAGTTAACTAATACAGTATTTGATTTGTATTGGTGACTAAGGATACACCGACTGCTAAATTGACAAAATGCCTAGTGTCATGGGACCTGAGCCTAGAATCACTGGAAATCATGTGTTTTTTGTTTTTTTTTACAATACTATAGATGTTGAATGTTTTGAATAGAATTGTACAAATGTCTTGGATGTCCTTACACAAAGTACACACATACAGACGTAGGTGGTTTCCACAATGAGAGCCAAAGCTAACGGACTTTGAGTTTTGACAAATTACAGCTGTGAGAACTGTGGATACAACAACATTGAGATTTCTGTATGGATTTCACTTATATCACTGTTACTTTTCAACTTTTAACCCCAAATGCTACGTTTATGCCTCAGACTGCCTCTTGTCTTCACTTATTACATCACACACACAACAATAATTGGACTT